TGCAGCCGAGCCGAGCCGAGTCGCCGAACCGAGCCGCGCAGCCGAGCCCAGCCGAGCAGCCGAGCCGCTTCGAGTGGCGGCCGAGCCGAGCCGAGCCCGAGCGAGGGCCGCCGGCTGCAGCGACCGCGGCGAGTGGCGCGTGCACCTGCCAGTCGGAGACACTGGCCAATCAGCGGCGGCCGGAGGCGGTCTCCGCGAGCGCCCGGGGAGGCAGGGCTGGGAAAGGCGAGGCTGGGGAGCGGTGGGGTTGGGGCGGGGGCGAAGAGGGGGCCAGGCCGAAGCCAGACGCCCTCCCTCCGGACCCGTACCTGGCGGACGGACTCTCGCAGTCCAGGCGGGTGCAGGCAACAGGCGGCGGGGAGGGGTTCAGGTCTCGCCTTCGTCTGCAGGGGCACCCCGGGTTTGGATGGAGTTTTTGGCCCCTCTGAGGGTGCTGCACATAAAGCAAGGTTGTTGCACACCAGGCACAGGTGCTTCATGCAAAGTGGGTTTGTTACACATTGGCCGGGAATGCGGGTTCTGCGCGCGGAGTGGGATGCTGCATTTAGACTGGGGTTCTGCCTACCGGAGGGGGTGCTGTTTGCAGGCTGTGGCTCTGAACACAGGTAATGCTCTGCATATGGGGCCGGAATGCTGCATGCGGGGCGACAGTGCTGTACACCGCAGTGCCCAGGCGTGCCCTTGTCCCTCCTGAGGCGGGCCTGGAAGCCATCCTCTACCGGCTGTTTCTATTCCCAAGGGAAGAAAGGCACATTTCCTGTGTGTGCCAATAGCGACCAGTACAGCTGGATCGATCGACTCTCTAAGGGGCACGCGGAAGGCCCCTGGTGCCTCCCAAACCTGCGCGTATTTAAGAAAAACAGTGGGCGGGGGGCTTCTCAAAAAAGTATGATCATCGGGCCAGTCGGTACAGGAAGCCAGACGTACAGGGACCCTCCATTTCCTGCATAAAGAACTTAGATTTCCTTAAAATGTACTGTAGTTAGCAATGGAAGAGGAGAGGTGGGGGTCACGCTCAGAACCCAGCAGATCTGGGTGTACTGCCTGTGCACCTCAGTGGAAGCTGTGTTAGCCAACGGGGTTGCCAAATCCACACCAAAGCCCTGGGTATGAAATGTCACCTTCACCTTCAGCTGCCAACCTGCTCCTGCCCACCCTAGGTGTCAGTGCGAACTTGGGAAAGCCCTCCCCCCCCCCGACCCTGTGGAAAGACCAGTGGAGAATGAGGGCACTGTGGCCTGTTTATATTTCCAACCCAAGAAAGGGAGCCAGCCCTCAAAACAGTGTCCCCTCCACTGGCCTGGCATGCCCCCTCCATCAGTGGTGCATGTAGGTCATTGGGTGCTCGGTGTTGTCTGGGGCTGAGCCATACATGCCTGCTATTAGGGACACAGATGATCACAGAGGGTCAGCCCCAGGCTGCTGCTGGTACCTCTGGGAGCAGCAGTGATTTTTAGCTGAACTTAAGAGTGTGTGGGAGCTTGGAGCAGAGTACCCAAGAGCAGGGTGATGTCCGTGGTCCCCACAGGGGAGCCATTGAGGAAGAGTGATGCCAGGTGCGTCTTCCCACCTCCTGGGGTCCTCTTAGTCACCTGGCCTCCCTGCCCACATTTCTGGTAGCATTTGGCCTGTTACCATCTTCACCTGGTCCCCAAAACTTTTAACTTCAGGACTCCACTTTCTCCCTTCCTGCTGTCTACCCTCCCTCTGCCCCTTGATCTCTCCCCTGTCTGGCCACCCACTAGATTTTTTTAATGTTTATCTTTATTTTATGTGTATGAGCCTTTTGACTGCATGTATGTATGTGCATACCTAGTACTCAGGCAGCCAGAAGAGGGCATTGGATTCCCTTGAACTAGCATTACCGATGGCTGTGAGTCACCTTGTGGGTGCTGGAAACCAAACCTGGGCCCTCTACAAAAGCTCTTAACCTCGGAGGCATATCTCCAGCCCTGTGTCCATCCTGCCCACTCAGTAGCAGGTCTCCAGGGTCTGGCGTAGACCCTCTTCCCTCAGATGGACCGTCTGGGAGCACCTGTGTCTCTTCTGAGCCTACAGCTTTGTTTCAATAGCCTGGTAAATCACCACTGCCAGAACTAACCTAGGCCATCTTCAAATAACGTTACATCTCACCTCCACATCTTTGCGGAGTCAACCTTTGTGGCCAGTCTGCCATCGAGGAAATCCAAGTGCTGGGCAACTACAAGGCGCTTATGACAGATGCCCAGTCATTCCGTAGGGATGGGAACAGCGAGGGACCAGTGCTGTTGAACAAGATGACCTGTCTTGGAGTTTAGGGTGGCCTGTCCCTGGAAGGTCCTTGTCCAGAGCAAGAGTCTTTGTTGGCAGAGTACCCTCCCATTACACCAGTACTTCCAGAATTATCATAACCCAGGCACCAACACCAGATACGGACAGGCCAAGAAAACATCAAAGTCCACTGCATCTTGTCAGCCTAGACATGGCAACCCTTAAAGGAACAATGGCAAGTTGATTCCAGTGATAAGTAAAAAGAATTTGTGTGAACTTTGAGAGCTTCTTCCCCCAGGAATTTCCAGTTAATGTTTCAAACAATGTTACCACGTTAGGCCGGCAAAACTATAATCCACGATCCTTTTTATTGTTTTTGGACCCACCAAAAAGGTTCGTATCGCCCCCATCTGGTGTCAGGCTGGTTCCTGAACCCCTGGCCAAGGGTCCCCTGAGAGTCCTCTGCCCACCAGGCCTTGCTTCTTTTTTTTGTTTATTATGGAGACAGGGTCTCTCTATGTCCTCCAGGCTGACCTTAAATTCACTACATAGTCCAGGCTGGCTTTAAGCTTGTACCCATCCTCCCGCCTCAGCCTCCCATGTGCCACCGTGCTGCTTCCTGTTCAGGGAGGAGTGCTGTCCCCACAGCTACAGAGCATGTGGGGAAGAGCCAGGAGGGAGACCAGGAAGCAAAGAGGGTCTAAGGGCTCCTGCAGAACAGGCCTGCCTCTGGTCAACCTCCGGACTGTGCTAGAAAGAGAAGAGGCTGGGTAACCCCAGACCAAGGTGTACAAGTCCCAGGGCAGAGCCCCTGCCCCCACCTCAGGGCATAGAATAGCCTTCTAGTAACTGAGCAGTGGGGCCCAGGGCATGGTGGGGTAGGTCTTAGTGTCTTGGTAGAGGGATTCAGGGATGGTAGGTGACCAAGCTGCAGGCCCAGTTGGGGTAGGGTACCATTGGAGAGGCATACCCCCACTTACTCCACTTGCATCCATCCTGCCTGTTACTCCATTCATATCTGTCCAACAAGGGTTAGGAAACACAACACAGGTCTCACGGAGTGTTGCTTTCCATTGCTGTGATAAACACGGTGGCCAAAAGCAACTTGGGAGGAAAGGGTTTATTTATTTCATCTTAGAGGGGTTACAAGTCAAGGCAGGAACCCCAGAGCAGAAACCACAGAGGAACATTGCTCGCTGGCTCCCTCCCCAGGGCCCACTCCCCATGGCCCAACCCCCATGGCTTGCTTAGCTACCTTTCTTATATAGGTCAGTCCCCCTTGGCTAAGGATGGCACCTCTCAAAGTGGACTGGGTCCTCCTACATTAATTAGCAATAAAAAAAATGTCTCACAGACATGGCCACAGGTCAATCTGATGAGAGTAACTCTTCAGTTGAGGGTCCTCTTCCTAGGTGCATCAAGTTGACCACAAGGATTAGCCATCACGGGGAGAGTTGCACAGTACCTCTAATGTGGGTAAGAAATTGGATGATACATATTCCTGAAAAAAAAAACACAGATGCTGTTTGCTCTGTGTATTTTCCAACACTTTAATTTTCTAAATTACTTTATTATTTTAATTTTATGTATATGAGTGTATCGCCTGCATGTATGTAAGTGCATCTATGTCGTGCGATGCCCACAGAGGTCAGAGAGGGGGTCAGATTCTCCTAGAACTGGAGTTATGTGCAGTTGTTAGTCACCATGTGGGTGCTGGGATCAAACCTAGGTCCTCTGCAAGAGCAACCAGTGCTCTTAACCTGAGCCATCTTTCCAGCTCCCCAACTTTAAATTTTTTTAAGCAGGCTGGCGGGGTCATAGTCTTAAAAGTGGTGCTTTTTCCCTTTCTTTACCCTCTAGGAGATGGGTTATGCGGGAAGGTAGGGTCCAGCAGCAGTGCCCTCCAAGGTCAGAGGGGATTCAGGGTTATGAGAAGCAAGGGAAATATTGTTTTCAAAACCTCCTGGATCATTTTAGAGCATTAATCCATTTCCTGGAGACAGACCCAGGCCCCTCAGTCCATTCCCTAGAAGATGATCTGGAGCATTGAGGCTCTTATCCTGGCTGTCTGCTGTCTCATACACACACAGGCAAACCAGAGTAGAGGGTAGGCTGGGAATATGCATCAACACCCCAGAGGAAGGAGGCTTGCAGTCACAATATTAAACAATTGCAGTAAATGCAGGTGCTGCACTCGCCGGGGGACATGCATATTTTCTCCTCCCTCTGCTCCTTCTGGAACAAGCCACAAAGACTTGATGCAGAGAGAGACCGTGTCCAAGGCAATTGTACAGAATATAGTCTGCACGGTGTCTCCCCACTGGTAATGACTGTAACGAGACAGAAAGGTGAACCGGGCCTTCATGGACTTTCAGCTTGACCCTCTTTGAATATACTTGTTTAATAAGATGGCCTTTGAGGCAGAGGCAAAGTCCCAGCCACCGACCCACGTAAAGGCCAGGAGAGGTGCCCTGCCTAGCGTTCCTGTCCCGTCTACTCTTGCCTGTAATGAGACTGTTTATTTATGGTTTCAATTTGGTTTTTATTGTTATTGCTATTTGCTCTTCAGAGTTAGGAGATGTACATCAAGCCTTCTCCCACCCCACACTGCTCCAGAGTGTTCCTCGGCTGCCAGGGAAGAAACACACGATCATGGTGAATGCTGATAATTAAACATGGCTCAGCGCATCGAGTCAATTTCTTGAAAGTTGTCTTTTTCGTCACTCGGTGACCCTGTATGTCAATTCTCCATACCTAAACAGCTGGGGGCTTCCCTTTCTGCAAAGGGTAGTGTTTCTGTAGTAAAGACTGTTTTCCTGGCTTTCTTGGGAGCCTAAAATACCATAGTCCTTTCTTGATCTTGACTTGACCCATTTGCCCAGTGACAGAGATGGAGGGGGACTGACCATGGTTGTCATGACTACTGGACATACATTGTACCATTCCATACACACCCACACATGGAGGAACTTGAGTCCTGCCTCACCCTAGTGGTGTGATCCTTGGACTTCTAACTCCTCTATGCAGAAGCCACATAGCCCTGCCCTCCTGCCTCAGGACCCATGAACTGCTGACTCAGCAGCCCTGAGGTCAGGGGCATCTCCCTTGGATCCCCTCTGGGTGATCCCAACATGGGTGAATTATCTAGGCCACCTGGAGGTCAAGCCTTTTAAGGCTGAGTACAGTTGTCAGGCCTTGTGTGGAAGCCCACAGGACTCCCTTTAGGATAAGTCTCTCTGCAGAGAGACTGGTCAGATCTCACAAGGGCAGTGATCGGGGATGAGTCCAGATGGTGGTAGCTGCTCTTAGAGGGCACCTGCAGGCTCCCTGGTACCTGGGAAGGCTCATCAGTGGGCCTTTGCTTCTCGAGGGCTTGAGCTGTCCTCTTTGCCCTCATGACCACCCTCTGCCCAGTAGTCAACACCCCTCTATTACTCAGTGATACCATTCATGTGTGAATGCCACAGCAGGGCCGTGGAAGGTCCCCCACATCCTCTGAGGTCCAGCCCCAGCATCCTGACCTCAAGAGCAGAGCCCAGGAAACTGGTCATTGCCAAATCTCTCAGCCTCTTCCTCTGCCCTGGACCTTGGCCCACTGGGAAGCCTGGGGTCTGCACAGTGCCCCCTTGTACTTAGAGCTCCCTGCCCCTGTGTGTCCCCTGATCCCCACTTGTCCTCTCCCCATCTCACTCTGAGCCTCCTCAGCCTCCTTCTTATCTCCGTCTTACTCTCTGAGCTGTTTCCCCAGGCCTGTCCCATGACTAGCACATGCCACTGGCAGAGTGAGAACCAAGCACTCTGGGCACCTCCTGGGTGTCCAGTCCTTGGGAAGCCAGGGTGCAGACCCAGGGCTGTAGGAGGGATCCTGTGACAGAATAGGTCCCTGCCCCCACTCCTACTCCATGAAAGGGCAAAGGTAGCCTGTCCCCTGTTGTATACCTGGCCTAGCACTAGGGCCCTAGCAACATCAGGCCATTGGACAAGCAGCCAGTCACGTTGGCAGCTCTGTCCTCATCTATTTCTTATACTCTGTCTCCCACTCCCAACAGGTCTTTCAGCACCAATGTCTAGAAGCAGGGGGCAGGAGCCCTAGTGTTACCCCTCCTAAATGGCCACAGGTGTTGGGACCCTCGGCTCCTACTTCAACCTACATTGCAGCTCTCAGCTCTGGAATATCAAATCCTTTACCCCTAAGAGAAAAAAGAAAGAGGGAGGGAGGGAAGGAGAAAGGAGAAAGGAGAGAGAGAGAGAGAGAGAGAGAGGAGAGAGAGAGAGAGAGAGGGACACTTTGCCCTTGATGGCAGCCAGAGTTATAGCCATGGGCCTGAGATGCTTGGTCCCTGTGGTTTAGAAGCTTCCTTGAACTTTTCCAGAGACCAAGCCTGTGGTTTCTCATCTTTAACTTCTGTTTTTCAAAAAACTTTTTTAGGGCCTGGAAAGATGACTCAGTGGTTAAGAGCACTTGCTGCTCTTGCAGAGGACCCAGTTTTGATTCCCAACACCCATATGGTGGCTGACAGCTGTCCATAACACCACTTCCAGGGGATCTCACATCCTCTTCTGAACTCCATGGGCATTACACAACATGGGTGCACCTACCTACATGTAGACAATACACTCATACACATAAAAATGGAAATAACAGGGGCTGGAGAGATGCTCAGGGGTTAAGAGCACTGGCTGCTCTTGCAGAGGACCTGGGTTTAGTTACCAGCACCTATATGGTGGCTAACAACCATCCATAACTCCAGTTCCAGGGGACCCGATGCCCTCTTCTGGCCTCCACACACATTGCACAACACGTGCACTTACACACATTCAGGCAGTATACTCATACACACAAGATGAAAATAATAAATTTTTAAAAAAATAATAATAAATAAAATATTTT